CATCCAGCCCGCATCGCTGAGACAAAAATGTGTCCCTTATGGGCACTAATTTTCCCCGTCAGTACTGATGTTATGGAGTCCTTAATGCGATTGTTATAGTAGAAGACAATGGACGGCGTTCGGTGGAAAGAACAGGATTCAGTCAAAAGACAATCCGGTCTGCTCCATCAAGCTAAGCCAACAGTATCAAAACAGAATCACTAATTTTCTTCGGATTTGAAACAGATTTGCACATTTTGACAGGACATGACACCCGACACACACATTGTAGACATGCAAAATATTATCTTTTTTTTTTGCTGACATTAGAAAAGTCTACAACTACAGGACTACGCTCAGTGCATGCAATAGCTAACGACCTTGCAATACTAGTACTGTGCATCTATTTCTTAATATAAAAATAGATGAATCTACATTTTTACTCGATACTATAATCTGAAGATCAGTTTGCAATAAACACAATATCAACACGTACATGTAACGCGCGGGGACTTGTCATACTTTCATAACAATATTTTGGAATAAAAATTCAGACAACCGAAACATGCAGATACCGATGTGGAGTACACATTTCTCCATTGGTTCGTGACTTTTCATAACTCACAAGAAGCTGGCTAAATTTCCACAACAAATGTCAATGCATGTTTCGTTTGCTTTGCTCTAGGGGGTCTCTGAATGGATCCGGATAAAGTTGTGTGGTGGAAAATAGCCCTTAAATTAATAGCCAATGATCCGGCCGAGCTTTTTAACTGACACTAAGTATCCACTTCCCCTGTCCACGGGACACCACCTCCACTACCAACTCTTACAGCGACAGATTAACAATTAATCCCGTACTAATGAGCTTCATTAAGGAAATTAACCACAGCGGTCCCGTCTAAATACTTACCCCACCGGCGTACATTGGCGTAGAACGCTGACAAAAGTCTGTGTACCGGGTTGTACTAAAGCGCTAAAATCACAAACCATCAAGCAGTGGCCATTGTTGAATATTTTCGCTATCCCACGTGGTCTATCGTATATATGTTACATTTGTCTTCAACCAAATTTCACCTATAATGTCTGCATATATATATATTTCACATTTTTACCTTCGCCAAGAAGGTTATGTTTTCAGAGGCGTTCGTGTATGTGTGTGTGTGTCTGTAAACACGATAACTTGAGAAGGCCTTGATGGATTGTCTTGATATTTGGTAGGTGGGTAGGTCTTGATGAGACCTCAAAATGATTAGATTTGGGGCCCCCTAGCGGCTTGTTATGGTACTGCAGCTAAACTTCCGGTTTTCATATCTCATGATCTAGACATGCTAGGGTGACGAAATTTGGATGGTAGGTAGCTCTTGTGCTGGGGAAGACGTAACGTGAGTTTAGGCCCCCTAGCGGCTTGCTCTGGAACTGCAGGGCTATCTGTTTGAAAATATTCAAAAGAGGATAACTCAATAACCGGTTGATGGATAGTCTTGATTTTTGGTATGTAGGTAGCTTACGTGATGCTTGATATAATTATGTGACAATTATGCAAATATGGATGTAATTTGCATAATTTATGGGGAAATTCTATAAATCAGCCGTATTCCATGATAGGACTATTGAAGCTCGTGAAATTGGTAATTGAGAACGAGAGAAACACAGGCAGATATTGATTATGTAAATGAAGACCTAATTTGCATAATCAATGAGAAAATTTTATAATTATGTAATGATAAGTGCCTGGAGTTTCATACTTGTGGTATTTGAAAGATAAGTAAAGGTGAACATCATTAAACATAATGTATTCAAATTAGGACCTCATTTGCATAATTTATTAGGAAATGCTAGAATGGCATTGTTTGTCAATATAAGACTGTATTTTGGTTTAGAATATGATAAAATGATATAATTCATGAAAATGAGCATCCTATTTGTTAAATCAGGAGGGAATAATCTATAATTTATCAGTCATAAAGATTAACATCATTTGGCGAAGGTATGAGATCGGGGAACTCTAGTTTCGCATTTTTTCGTTCATTTTTGTGTTGTATGTGTTTACATGGACGTAACACAGTAATGATGTTTCCTATTTTGTACTCCATTCATACTCAACCTCATTTCGTACATGTATCAAAATCTGTGGAATATATACCAGAGGGATAAAAAAACATCTGGGCTGATATAGATATGATATCCTTATCGGACAATATAACTTACCCTTACGTATTCGTAATTGGTGTGCCATATGCATGTGTGCTATTAGTTATGGGATGTTAATATAATTTTAGATACACGAACTTATCCTATAGACGGTACGAAGGTTTCAGACAAAAAGCGCTAGAGGGAAGACATCAAAAAAGATTCGAATGTATTCATTCACTTCCGTGACTGTTTCATAGATTGTCTCTTACTGCGACAAAACAGCGCAAGGCGAATGTCGACCGGGGCATTTGATGGCATGATGATGTCATGGTAAATTTGATGTCCACAAGAGTTTACATGTACAGTTGGTCCCATTCCATCTTGAAGGTTTAAGAGTTTACGAGAACGATTTTATATGAATTCGAAAAGGAAGGAATACAAATGTCTGTCCCCTGTCCAGGATATATATCTAGTTGTGTATCCTCGAAATAAACAAAGGCGCACGTGTATGTCAGAGATAGGTGGAGTATATGATTGCAGAAAAAGTTTCTTCTAATAATATTCAAATGTTATATCTGATGTATATGTTACAAAGTCATGTCAGTCGCGCACTGCCATGTCAGGTGGAACACACCCCACGTGGTTGACAGGTGTGTGGCTGGTCCGTTGTTTGCAAGAAGACGCACGTCTTTTCATTTCAAGTGAATCTCTGAGAAAACGCAGTTGACATCTTTAATTGAGTTTCTACTTTTCCCCAGTGACGTCAGCTGGTGTGGATAACAGAACCACGTCACGCTTTCTAAGAACACGTCCTGACACCACAGGAGGTGTTCACCTGTACGGGACCCGGGCTCGGGCCGTGTTCATGATACCCGCATCCACACACAGGGTCATCTGGATAAACAGGATATATATGACTCAAAAGTCAATAGTGGAGTTACTAGTACTTTCATGGACATGTGTCTACCTTCTAATCCGCTTTTATTTTTTTTATAACAGGTCTACATTCTCAAATGCGGAAGGCAGTTGCTTAATTTACGGTTTAATACTTGACTGTTCATTATTGCTGAAATATCAAACATGAATGTACCCATTATGCCGTAGAAAGAAAATATGATAATTGATGTTGATTTAATGTCACGATTAAGGGCCATTTACTTTGCGCAATACAGCTTTTGAATATGTGGAACTACGATGTGTAAACAGTCGACATAGTCTTTCAATGTTGACGTTTTGTACATAAATAAATGAACATTCTCTGTTACAGTAGTGACATCCTGGACGTGCTAACACTAGTGTAGATAAACGATGTTTGTGATTTGGCCATGGTTTCACTGTCTTATGCGTGTCTTGTCGATCTTTTTGTTCAATGTTGAAACCACCTCTTAAGAGTGTACGACTACGAGTATACGAAGAAGGTATTTAAGTATGATTTGTAAGACATGACAAGAAAGCACAGAAAACTTTTAACACACGCTCTTGATCTATGAAATTCGTTGAGTTATCTGTCAAATTTTGGTCGTTCAGCGGTACATGGAGAGGGGTGTTAGATTTAAAGGGACAACAAAGTTCCTAGAGATTTTTCGTTTGTGACGATAGACCTACTAAACGACGCGTATGTCGTACACTACATGTGGGCTGATGATATCCCTTCTCTCAAAGGATCAGTAAAAAGTGACGCACTAACATGTGCTTAGCAAGGATGTTCGGATTTTCGGATCAAAGTTTTACAGTCCGTATTCGATCGTCCTTTTGTGTCGTGCTGAGATTAGGGAACACGTGCGCTCAACATGGTGTCATTTGTAGAGCTTGCGGAATCCTGTTGGTCCTATTGTTCGTCCCTACCCGCATCCACGCCCCACAGAAAGGCAAACAGTATTTTTTTGCTACAGCACAGTGCAGGGACGGTAATAAATGACGGTATCTTCTTTGTGCATCTTCATTATGTCCCCGTGGCGCGCACACGCTGTCCGCCCCAGGCAGTGGCCGGGGATGAGGGTTCCCCAGTCCCTGAGGAGCGGGGTAGATGCGGGGCCAGACTGCCCGGACACAATGTTCAAGGTGTGCGGCAACACGCAACCGTGTGGTCCTAAAACTGTCAGACCGGCTGTCTCTCTGGCAGTCTGACAGCGATGAATGACTGGAGTCTACACCGTCTGCACCAGACACCTTTGTTGTGTGAAATTCACCTGTTCCTCTGTGTCTGCATGTATTTGGCATAAGGCTTACTGATAAGGTTTAACCCTGCCCCATATCTCAGTAGGCCACGTACTGGATTCATGGACTCAGCTGAGAGCCAAGCGCAACAGAGAAAATTCTAACTCGTTACTTTGCAATTTTTGCCCTACTTACTCTTTGAACTATACGTCTACCCCTTGTTGCGTTTACTAACTTAAGATAGATACACGGCAGTTGCGATTTTTTTCATGCTTATAAACTAATGCCATAGTTCATATAACGTTATGTGGTATTGATTATGGTTCTAACAACAGTGTCTTTTTCCGAAACGTCGCTTGTAGAAACGACATGCTCTCTATATACTTAAGTGTAGAAATCGAACAAAAATCCAAAAGAACAAGCTGACCATCCAAACTAAGTCATTGACTATATTGCACATTGTGAAACCTGCCAGCGCAGTGCGAGTCGTCGGATAGGTCCTGTCATTTTTACTTTCGCTAGATGGCGCTTTTGCATTGCCTGCTTTCGTTGGTTTGAACATGAACGCTACGGGTTATTATCAGTCACTAACATGTTTAGCCTCTTCTAAAGTATCTTTTTCCTCAAAACAGCAAAGACTCTTCCGGACGTCTTCAACGAAAATTTACATTCTGATATATTGCTAGGGGGCCTTTAACTCATAACATCTAGGATGTGTGGGGAAACGTAGGGGGCCTTGTCCCAGTCAAGGTTTAGTTTGTCCAGAACAAAGAAACAGACGGATCGAAGAAACGACGAGTTCACGCTGTAGTGTTCTGACAAGGGAGCTTCACTGCCTGGTGTTGACGTAAGGGGGATATTATATATCAACTAGTTTATTCCTGCGACTTGTGTGAGACTCTGAGGTTGTGTGAGACTCTGAGGTTCGATCCGAGCTGTCAAAATAATTTTCTGGAATAATCCATGATCCTCGGAGATCCCATGAAATTGTTTGTGATATTCAGCCGTCGTTAGCATGTCTGCTCACTTAAATCTTCTTACCGGAGTAATGTATTTGTATTCAGAGTGGGTATTTTCCATTAAATCGCATTATTTCCGTTAGAAATCTTGAAGTCATTCATATGTCAAATTTTCGCGCCATTCAAAATGACCACCATGTTGTGGATTCTGCCATTCTTTAATTAGGGGCGCTCTTGATTCAAATATGTTTTGTTATATGTACGTGAAGAATGTTTTGTCACTATTAGACAGAAATAGAATATTATTACTCTATTCATATCTAAAAACTATCGTAAATTGTTATCTACATCTACAATACATAAAAGTTTTGTACTTTATTTTGCTTCCTAGGCGCTAAATCTTCCCCACGGAAGTGCACTGTTCCAGTTGTAAGATTCGTGATCGTCTGCGGTGCACCGGTGTCGTCTGCAAGGTTTGTGATTGAACATGATGTTCTGAACTATGTTACAGTGTTGTGACGAATGATCATCAACGTAACTGAAGACAAATAGTGAAGCACACAGAGACTAGTAGAATCTGTAAGATGATCACTTAGATTATGTCATGAGTTCAAGTGACTGCCTAAGTTGTTGTTGATCCATTCCTTTATCAATGTCAATCATAGCTGCAAATTATACCAAATAGATGTCTACCAAGGATATCTCAACAAGACAGTGAAGTAGTTTTTACTTCAACACAATTTATTGTGGCCACTTTTTGATTATTGTTGTTTGAGATCTTTATTGTTATTTTTCAGCAACGATTTTGTAAAATCATTTGAACACCAATGAATTCAACCTGAAGAAAAATCATGCCTGTTCGGAAAGTACCTCCCAGTGAAGTGGTGAGTGGATGAATAACTTAATCTATGTTTTTGATGTGTTCTTGTTTGTAGTTGTTTGATTTTTTATGTCCTTGATATCATCATATATCATAATAATTTGCTATACCATAATGACATCATACCTTTGCAAAATGATGTTAGATTATTTTTCCTACACTCTTTTAGTGTTTATGTAACGCTAAAGAGTTTTGATTTCTGGTTGCAGCTGGAGTCTATCCTGTTCAGTGGGGGGAGTGAAACATCATTCTTCTGCAGAGTTGAGTCTTATCTTGACAATGCAGAGGGGAACGGGCCACAGGATTGCTCAAAAAGATTGATGGACAGACTCCACTACTTGACCAAGAAGGTATGTAATCTGGAATCTAATCTTTGATAGCCCCTCTAAGGTTAAATCATGCTTTTTTCAGTAATACAATTCAGTAAATTTTTATGATGCCTTTGATAGTTTTGCTGCAGGCTCATTAGGCACACTAATGTTACATTTACAATAGAATGTATATTTAGAAATATCAATTTTTATGTTTTCTAGGAGCTGGATGCCCAGAACTACCAGCATGTCACCCAGCTTTTACACCTGGTACAGGTTATAGCCGGTTTTACAGACTTTGATGAGGGGCTGCCTGTTCTGTTGGACAACAAACTTCCTGACATGATAAGTCTCTTTATATTTTCTTTGATGTCAATAAGATTGAGAGAGTGAGAGTCAATCTATATTTAAACATGCGTTGATAGACTATCATGAGTTAATGAAATCCATGGTACTGTCAGAAATTGTCTCTGACAATGTTTATATATAGGAGTAGGAGATACACACTTTGTACAATGTTTATTAAATGTTTTTGATCTAGAAAAAAATGAAAATTCTAGTTTGTTATGACTGTTTGTTATGCTCAATGCAAGTGTAAATTTCAAACTCTTATTGAATTTCTCTGATATTTATTGTTATCAGCACATTGAACTGGTATTCAAGAAAGCTGTATCAGAGTCACAAAAGATGGGCAGAGTCAGTGAACCGATACAGATGTCTATGGAGCAAGTCATGGACACAATAACTGTAGGTTTTCTTCTGTCAGATATAAATATTAGATTACTGTGTCTTCATTTCCAAGATAAACATACACCCCACACATTATTGTCACATTCTTGATTTAGGTTTGCAAATCCTGGTTAAACCTTCCAAACTATGCCAATGAATTAAGTAATAAATTAAAAGAAATATGCAACAATTTAACATTTTTTAACAGTCTGATTAAGAGGAATGTTACATCATGATCTGCTTTGCAGATCAGACCTAAGTACAGAAAATGTCCAAGATACAAATACACTCTCAACACGTGAACGTCATTTGCCTTTCAGAGTATCGCTGAATACAACATGGAAGGTAACTTGATATTATATCATAGTTTCTCTGGGTATTGGCTGGCATAGTTATATATCTCTGTTGTTGTCATATCTGTGCTATTGCAACCATGTATGATTATTGTAACCACAATATGGAGCTCTTTCACATTTGATAGCATATGCCAGCCTTAAATGTACAAACTTTGAATAAACATTATTTCTGTAGGGAGGAGAGCAATGTTGACCGTTCTGGCAGTTCCCCTGGCCAAGTTTTTGTGTGAGACCAAGGCAGATTTTGGTCTGAGACTCGAGGTATGTCCAATTGTTTAATGCACTGTGTTTTCTAATTCACCACTGTCATTTATATGTATTACTTGATTATCTTTGTGTAAACTGTGGTGTAACATTAATTGTGTCATCATATTCAATTTTTTTTTTTATACTTATAATTAGTACCTCTATTCTGTCCATACTAGAAACCCTTTCAATTAAAATCTTGGGTTGAGAATAAAGAATATCATAGCGATTGAAAAAAGGCCTAATGTATTTTAGGAATGAAAACATTTAGTAGGTGTGTTCACTTCAAGTTGATGACAGCCCTTTTGTTTACTGGTATGTTTGCTTGCAGGCAGGAAGAACACTGAATGTCCTTCTCCAAGGCATCACATCTTCCATCAGGCATGAATACAAGGCCTCTCCTGGGATGAAGGCTGTTATGTGAGTACTTGGGATTTGTAATTACTCAATAACACATAAAATGTTTGATTTGTCTGCAAATACAATGATTACCTGTAAAGCCTTTGCAAGACATGGAAATTTGAAAGTAAACTGAAATATGCATTGCAAGAGACATTCATGATGATGAAAAAGCTTTGAGATGTAGTCTCTCATAATATGTTCATGCAGGTATCTTTGTTAACTTGCACACTTGACATACACCTGTGTTGGTGCTTGATGCATTTTGAGGTCTGCTTCTCACTTGAGAAAAGGGATCTTCCTTTTGTGTCCTCCCCCATGATAAACAAGGGATCAGCAAATTGGATGCGATGACATTCTATTAAGATTTTCACACTCACTCAAATGCAACAAAAGCATCAAGATGAAAGTGGCCCTGACAGAGGTATCTGTAATGATGTTGTAAGCTTGTGCAATAGTAAACTACCTTATTTTTAACATTCATTGTATATTTTTGCCCCAGTGGGCATTTCTAAGTTTATGCAAGAATTATGGAAGTACCAAAAGAACCTGTCTTGGCTCCCATCTGTGCAAAAAGAAGTATCACAAGCAAAAAAATGGGTTGAGCGAAGGAGCAACCTTAATTTATCTAGATAAACAAACTGTCACAGTGATAAAAGTAACTGACAAATGCCTGCTAGCTTCATCGGTTGATTTATGGCTGTAGTGTTAAGGGTTATTGGGGAAAAAAGCTTGGTAAGTTGTTTTCCATGCCTTAAGTTCTTGTTTTCAAGACAGGAAATCCAACAAAGCTGCCGCAAACCAGCTTAAAGAAAGACAACAGCTAACACATAGGCACTGCAGCAAATCTGGTTTCAAAGCATGAACCCTTGCTTGTCTTGGCTTTACTGTCCTGTACCTGTAATCTCCTGTAATCCTTCAAACAGGCAATATCTGAAGTCATTGGCCTGTGTGATCTGGAGAATGAAGAGGTTAATCTATAGCTTATAAGATAACGTCTTAGACCATAATGTCATCGCTCACCTAAAATCCCATTAGTTTGTTCACTTATAACAGAAAGAAAGCTGTAATCTGTTGAATAAACATGATTCAGAGTCAGGAATGCTGTTTGGAGTGAACCATGACTAACAGTTTGCAAAAGTTGACCTTTTATAATCTTACAGCACAATGCTTCATTCCTTTGGTCTGCCAAAGTCAGATTAGCTGTGGCGACTTTCAAATACCAGAGAAAAACCAAGCAGATAAAACATAATCTAGAATATGTCGCTTCAATGCACATTCTTCTTCCAATTTACAAAAAGGAGGCATTTTGCATGCTTTCAAAGTCTGGAGTTTGAATAAAATCCTTTACAACCTTGATGTTACCTTGTCCTAACAGCCTACTTTAAACTGACCTCCACATCTACATCCTATCTCAGAAGCTTTTCAAGGATGTATAGTCTGTGTAGATGCTGAACATCTAATTCAGTAAATTCTTATTCTTTTGTGGTAGGAAGCAAATGAAGATTTTCACTGTTAAAACAATTCATTAGTGCAGTCATACAAAGATGATATATTTGCAGTATCGTGAGGTCTCCTGGAAAATAAAACCACTGTAAAAGTTTTATGATTTGCAATTACATACTTGATTAATAAAATGACAGTCTAGTAGATAATCTATATGGTTTGGAAAATATATTATATATAAGCCATTAAACCATCCAGGGCAATTGTTTACAGAACAAAAATGATCTGTCATTCTGGATGGCACATATGCTTCCACACCTGTTCAACATTCCGACACAGGTGTGCTCCTGAAACAGGGAGCTTTTCAAACCCACTATTTGCCCAGGGGCTCATCCCCGTGCTTAGCTCATCTGTGAAAACACGATTGGACCTTTAATCCCCGTTTGTAGGGTTTCACACGTGCCATACAAGCGTAAGTCCTCGTTAAACCAAAACATGGGATGTTTATCACGCAGCTGTGTACAAAACGAGGCTTAGGGAGCTAAACAAACAAGAAATGTATTGGTGTGTCTTGCCTCGTGCAGTCTTCACGTGTTCATGAAATGTATAAGGTAATCTCTCAGTAACCATATCATGATGAAAAGAGCTTGTGCGCCTTAAAGCTTTTGAGCAAACTGAGCTTAACATCACACTGACTTTAGTGGAACTCTTCTGGACTGACTGAAAAACCCTAAAATCTCAGAAATCCTGATCAGACCTACTAAATAGAACTCATTTTAATTTTATTTCTCAAATGTATGTCTGCTCTGACTGCTGTTCTGTTGCTCAATAAAGAGTGTTATACCTGTATGTGTGTCAGTCAATATTTCAAAATCCCGAAAGAAAGCATTCCCAAAAGGTAAGTCCCTACAAAACTTCAACTTCTTTTCTGATTGAATGGAAACTGCCGACTCAAATGCCCATATAAGCCAATGTCCTCTGGTAAACTTTGCAAAAGCAATTGCGCATGTCATGTTTCCACCCCTATGTTTGTTATCTTTTGGCTTTACTTTCATATCGCATCACCATGTAGTGAATTACATCTTTTCTCATGTCCTACCTGACAGAAGCTAGACGAGCCCTGTCATGACCATGACAGCTTATTCTACAGCTTATTCTTCTTTTGTAGGAAGAACCTAGCGGCACTCATCCAGGGTGCAGGAGGTAAGACGTGTGTAGATTAGGCACTTTCAGTACCATTACTTGTTTTAGGAAACTGGTGTAACAATGATGAAGTCCAACATAGTTGATGCACCTCTTGAAATAATCAAAAATGAAATGAAACTTTATCTGTGAAGCTTTGGGTTACAAAAACATTTAATTTAAACTTTTGCATGATATGAAGAAAATGGCATACATTTTGCATGTGTGTCTTCAACACATGATTATATGAAGGAGAAAGTTGATTTTGTTTATTTTGTTTATTGATAAGTTTTCTCAATAAAAATACCATACTCTAGGTTTCAAAACATGTCAACTGCATTCTATCAGGATCAATGTACTGTCCATAATTATCCCAAAAAGTGATATTTAAGCTATGTTAAATCTGAAATGTTTAAGACTTTTTATGACACAATGATAAAATGTGTTGCCATACTATTGACTTGTCTCTGCCATTGTTTGACAGAAATTTCCGTTCTATGTTGTGGTATGTTGAGCCATCCGTTAAGCTATCCTCTCCTGCGGCTTCCTTTTTGGTTGAGGAAGATTAGAGTGGATGATGGACACATAAATCCAGTATTTGTTCTGTTAGGAGAATTAGGGGAAGGCTTGGATAAAATGGAGTTATAAGAGATATTGGGGAATGTATTAAGAAAAAAAGGGTCATTCCAGCAAGTCTTCTTTCTATACTTGTGAACTTTTTATTTTTGGACACAGAAAAAATTTATGCGTATGAAAATGTTATCCTTATTCAATTTATTGAATTCAATTAATATATATAATCAAGTCAGTGTGGCATAACCGGAAGCAGTGTACCCAGTGACTAACATTCCTAATATCATGTTTTCAAGCTGTCAAGAAAAATATACCATGAAATATCATTTGGCATTGTCCAATCATCCCATCTCCATTTGTTTTCATTTGTAGATTTTGAGCTCCAGATCACCACCCTTGAGGCGCTTTTCCGCATGATGAGTAGGACTGACCGTGGAACTGTGGCTAGGGAGTGGTTCCCAGACCCAGCCGTCAACAGTGCCATGCTGCATATCAGAGATTCTGACTTTGAAACTGTAAGTTTAAGATTACCTGCTTTACCTTCTACTCAGTAGAGTCATTTTTAGATCAAGATTGCAAAATGTAGCTGTGCAAGTATGAGGCTGGTTGTGTTCATGAGAGACCATTGAAGACCATTCTCTGTATAAGAGCAAATGCACTTGTTTTAAATAAACATACATTAGAAAAATTTGATAAACTATGACTCACTCACACTCACTCACTGCACAACTGTTAGTACTTAATAGAAAGAAGATCATTGATGTGTAATAAAGATTGTAACTCTGTGACATACTAATTCACGTAATGATGCTTTCCTATGTTGTTCCAGGATTGCCGTAAATTCCTGAATATACTAAACAAGTCCCTAGGAGCAAAGCGAAGGTACGTTTTATTTTTTCTTGTACTTCTTAATACATCACCAATTTGAATTGCATATCTTGAACTTCATGCATGTAAACTCAGATTCATTAGTTCATGAAATGTCAATGTTGGTGGTTAGTCATACTGTATAAACATTTTCCTTTGCAGCGTATTTTCCTTCCCATGCAAAGGTGCCTACTTAGGAACTGAAAAGGTATCATGGTTGTTTTAGGAGTACTCTGTTTCAAGTTCCACCATAAAGCTGTGGTCACATACATGTACATGTAATGCAACTACGATGGACATTTTTTGCAACGATTGTGCAGTACATTGTAGTTTTAAGAACAAACAGGACTGGTGCATTGACCATTGTATGATGTATGTGACTAGAACTTAACATTTCTTTGAAGATGGTTTTGTATATTCATTTGTGAGGATTTGTGCCTTGGCTGTTTGTAAACTTCATTAATGAACTTGATGTTTGATACTCTGTAATCCTTTTAGTCATAGTAAGACATTTGTTATGGATTGTCAACAGTTGTTGCCTGCCAGACATAATTATGTAGCCCATTTTTCTACTGAACAATGCACACATACAGTTCGCTCAGTGAGTTCTATTATGCAATCTTTTCCTAGCTCCAACAACCTACAGATGACAACCTGACTGACTTCTGGGTGGACTTCAACACTTCAAGTCACAGTATTTCACTGTTTGTTGTAGACAAGAACAATACAGACCAGGTATAATGCACAGAAATTTATGACGTTATTATTATTGTCTATTACAACATACTTTTATAAACTTTCAGAGTCTCAATTTTAGTATTAATTCAAGGAGGATTTCTGCATTATCCTGGATGTGGTAATGAACTAGAACACATATTTTTCAGGATGAAGCTGATGGCTGGGAGACAGTTGTCATCAAATCACCAGATGTGAAATTCTACATGCTGTCAGGTAGCTCCGATCATTTTTAAGACAAAAATTTAGTCACAAACAGGTAGGCTTTTATCAACTAGCTTACCATATTGGAGGGATAGGGCACAAATCATCAAATGTGTTTCTGAATTTGTGTAGAATCTCATGATGACTTGCCTACACGGTCATGATGTAATTAAGTTGTACTTCATGGTAAGAACAGTTGTTGTTGTTTATCATGCCTGTCTGTGGTGCTGAAATACATGTGGTATTCCAAAAACCTTGTATTATTGTTTTTTTAACAATCTCATCATTGGTATTTCAAGTCCCAGTGACACTTGCATAAAACTACTGTCCTGATATAAGATCATAGAGACTTGTTTGTGTATAGCACATCATCCTTTCGTACCTGTACTTACAGAGTGTATGGGTGACATCAGACTGGAGATGGTCCTACTCAGACCTGCCTGTGACATCTCTGAGGTGTGTGCAGAGTCCAACAGAGATAAAACTGCCATCTTTGTTCTGAAGAAAAGTCCAGACATCCCCCGTGCCCTGGATCTCAGTCTGGGCAAAGGCAAGGAGCGACAAAAGGTTTGTGCAGAGTGTACCATTATCACAGATAGTTTGCTATGATCATACTAACTTCTAGGAAAGTTACCACATTTCATGGAAACGTTTTGTTCCCTATACTTCATGTTTAGAATCATACCCTCGGAAGAAAGCTAGAATTGTACATATGCTCCACCTAGCAAGTGTCAGTGAAACAACACCCAATTCAGTAAATGAACATTCAAATTGGACATGCATCATTAAGTTTGTGTGCCAGATACATGTAACAATTATTGAATACTTCAAGGTCCGACACTCAGTGACTTGACTGTGGAAGCTGTAGTCAAATCTGCTCTTGTGTCTTCTTTTTCCCAGCCTCATGTGTCAGTAGCAGGCACACCTGTGCGATTCAGCACCTGTGCTGCAGCCGATAGCTCAGTAATGGAGGATGATGACATCCAGTCACAGTTAGGGAAGCCCCCACAGCCTCGCACGGCTCAGAAGCATGTGAGTAGATGGTCTATGCTTTCTCTAGTGTTCGTTAATATTGACTTTGTCATGTACTATGTGTATTGCACACTTGAGATATACAGCTGCAGTGCCCCTTAGTGATAGCAAGTCAAACTGGGGAATGTGATACTGATCTAGTATTTTATGGATTTTGAGGTTGTACAGATATCCCCTGTATCATTCTGGACCCTTTGTCATTACTTAGTCAGAAATGTTGTTACTGATATTTTTCATGTGGTTTATTTTTATCCCCACCAGGTCTCAACCAAAGGCAAAGTGTCTGTGCCTGCACAAACAATGGCCTCCCACTTCACATCACCTGTACAGGTATCTGGCTCCTCTGCAAAACCAGGTAAACTACTTCAATAGAAAAAAATTATCTTATGAACTGGTTCTGTCATTACTATACATAATACAGTAACTCCTTCCCTTCAGTCTACTGCTACATGTATTTGTAAGGAAAGTACATATGCCTTGAATTTCGTGTGATTTTGCATGCCTTCTCCTGTTGTGTTAAAATGAAAACAAATTTAAGAATCAGATGAGATTATAAAGTTTTATAAATCATTTCAATCTGTTCCCTACAGCAGACAAGCAGAAGACAGAAAACCACTGCTCGGTGACTTCCTCCACCCCAAGGACTCCTGTTGGGAAGAACACTGGGGCTGTGCAGAAAAAGAAAGTGAAGACTCCACTACAGATGGTTACCTCTGGTACGTAAAAAGACTATTGTTACTTCTGGGTACTTTTGGGTGGCTGAGTTGTAGGGTTTTCTCTCTGTTTGTCCGACAGTGAGAGGTGATTTGGACAGTTGATTGAGTAAGTGGGTGGTATGTGGAGGAATTCAAGAAGTCCACTTGCTTGTATAATCTCCAGGCCAAGTGAGTTCCTCCCAGAGGTCTGGTGTGAAGGTTTCTGTTCCACTAACTTTCATCCGCCTGGGAAGCAGCCAGGAGAGAAGACAACAGACGGAACCAGACAGATCGAACACCAATGGTAAGAACTGTTTCCAACTTTCCTTCAAACAAGGTATTTCTTCTGTGTTTTTACACGTGAGTGTGTTTGCATAATGAGAAAGCAATAACACATGTGTGTGTACATTATTTCAAAGAAGATGGTCTCATCCCAAAGTAGATTTATTGTAGATTCAATGTAATTTTTAGTCCCACATTGGCCTTTTGTATCCCTACTTGCCACACTGGAGTCCCTCCAGAAAGTCTCTAACCTTAATATTACATAATACTGTTTCTATTTCAGATGACACAGATGAAGTTGTGCCCAGTTCCTGTCCCATGGAAGATAACATGGCCGTGCCAGACTCCCAGATTTCACAGACTGAGAACAATGCGTAAGATATGCCCACTGTTTCCACATTTGTTTGAAGGCAAAAACTTCATCCTTGAACATACTTGCAATAAACTTTTAAGCTTTCAACCTTTATTAACATTCAACCAACATGGCAGAAGTATATTCAATAGTACTTCTGAATTGCATTGATTTAACATCTCGTAGAAAAAAAACAACACAAGGCAAGGACAGTGTGCATACACCAATGGATATGTAATTTATACTAATAATTGTAAATCACTGATTGTCATCTGATTTCAGACCTGAAGCCACAAGAGATAATGCAGACTCCATTGAAGCTATAGACCCTGATCAGGCACTGTACATCAAGGCCAGGCTAAGGTAACATGGAACAGTACTGTTGTTCATCTTTTTTGCTGGATTATCCACAGAAGATATACTTTGTCAGAAGCTATTTTCATGTTGAAGTCAGATACATATACATCGTGAATCTCATTTGATTCCCCCTCTTTTGTTCTCCACATACAGAGCCTCAGACAGCCCTGCCCTGAGCACAGTGACTGAGCGTACAGAGAGCAGCCGTGCCAGTACCCACTCCCCACCTTCAGCCAAACAGAGGACTGCCATCTCCATGGAGCCCATATCTGGTGCATACAACAGTTTTTGTATCAAACAGTACACATTAATGAACAAAAAGTAATAATTAGATTCACCATTAATATCAATAACTGCAGATTGCAGTATTTCCTTCAATGTACCATGTACAGTGTTATTGGAAAGTCTCAAGTTTCAAATTTTCTTCTGTCTACTTATATTAGTGATCTAGGGTTGAGGAAAAGATTCATAGATGTAACACTTGTGTACATTGTAAATCATCCAAATAACACCTGCCAGTAGCATAAAGTTATACAGTGAAATGTCATGGGGATAAGTTGCAAAATATACAGTATACTTTTCCCAACAGAAGAACAAATCCTCCCTGCAAAGAATGACAAAGTGTCCAAACAGCAAAAAGACAAGGCAGCAAAACCTCCAAAGAAGAAGGCAAAGGTGTCTGGTACAGAAGTTCCATCCAGCCAGGCAGAGGTAGAACCTGTTCGGAGACGTCCCCGGAGAGCTGCAGCTCAGGCCGCTCTCAGTCAGTTCCAGCACCTCAGCCAAGATGTGGTCATTCCTGACTCACAGCCAATAGAACCCCTACCAAAGCCTGGCAAGGGAAGGGGTATGGCCACCGGGGCAAAGAAAACAAGCACATCAATACAGGCAAGAGGTACCCAGAGGTCTCCATATGATTTTTGTGGAAGAGATGACATGACACTGGAAGGAAGGACTGATGAGACATCCATGGAAACAGTGATCCCAGACTCACAACCAAGCCAGCCACCAGTCAGCAGAAGGCAAGATGGGAAGGATCAGAGCAAGTTGGGAATGAAGAAAACAGAAGGCTTATCTTCGCGTAACCAAGGCAAGCAGAAGACACAAAGCCAGGTGAAAAAAGCACCAAGATTGGCAAAGTCAGCATATTCACCCCTGTCCCAAGATTCTGCGCTTGACTTTAAGATGACACAGAGACCATCTCAGCAACCTTCAGGAAGAAAGACGATGAAAGAGAAGAGTGCGTGGGATGATTTTGGATCACCAAGGTCTATCGAGTCAATGGACTCGTCCATCTATGATTTCAAAGAGGATGATCAATTCTTATTCCAGGCTAGTGGAAAACAATCTTCCAAAGCCAAACCGCAGAAAAATGCGCCCAAAGGGAAAGCTAGCCAAAAGCCCAAACCTAGAGTCCCAGGCAAGAAGAAGGCACAAGGTGATAGCACCAGCAGCTGTGGTGCTATCTTGAAGTTCTTCACTTCAAGGAACAAGAAGACACCAGGGGGGTTGTCCCAGGAAGAAGATAATTCCCCTGAAGGCTTCTGCAGCACAAGTGACTCAGACAATAGGAGATCAACTTCCCCTGAAGAGCAGAAGAGGTCAGGACATGGTGCAAAAGAAGGGAAAACAGGGAAGAAGGTCACAGGAGGTATAGGAGAGAGCCATCTGGAAATAAACTACATGGAGGATAACTTTGGTTTTGACTTTGATGAAGTAGAGCAACCAAAAGCAGCTCCAAAGGCCAAGAAGAATGAAAACAAACAGAGCAAGCATAACTCTGCAGTGTTGTCTGATAGCGATGCACCACTGAAGAAGAAACCTCGAAAAAAGCCAACTGAAGAAGAGTCTGGCTCAAGAAGCAAAGGACCTCTAACTGACAGTACAAATACTGCTACAAAGCCAAAGAAATATACAACAGGAAGCAGCAAAAACAATGGAGGAAAAGGTCAAAGACCCAAGAGCAAAGGAGGTGCAAAGTGGAGAGGTGTGATTGAGACACAAATGGAAGACGAGGAATCTGATGTAGAGTTAATGCGAGAGGCAGACGCACCTTCCCCTATGGTGACCGGGTTCTTCCCATCCCCTCCAGAAGAGGATAGAAATGGAGAGAGAGAAGACAAAGATGACAGAAAGGAGACTGCGATTTCCTTCAGTAAAGAGACATTCTATGGCTCTAACAAAAAACAGAAACCTCCATCTTCAGTAAGCATTTCGAAGCAAAGCAAAGTTTCTGATTCGAGGAAAGTACAGAAGGAAAAGGAGGAGATGCTGGAAAAGGTGACAAAACTAGCAGAGAAGTACACCAAAAAGATGCAGGAGAGAGAGGAGGCTCGAGCTAGGAAGCCAAGTGACAGTGTTGACATTGAAGAGTACCAGAGCCAACCTGTGCAGGACATGAGCCCTTCATTGGAGTCAGATTCCACCAGGAGGCCTGCTTCACACTCAGCAAGGTGTTGTAAATGCTTTAATTTACTATTTTTATTTTCTCACCAGGAAACCATGAATGTGTGTTTTATAGTTCTACTGTACTACAGAATTGTTTCGACTGCAAACCTCAAACACCACAGAAACCCCCTTTTCTCTCCTACTGCAAATTGAAACAAGTCCAACGGTCAATGCATTTATAGTAAAGAGAACGGTTTATGGAGATATGATGCATTCCTCAGGTACTATATTAAGAATTATCATTATCTTATGATAGTAAATTGATACTCAGGAACAACAAAACATCTGCCATTTGTGATTCTTACTTCACCAGGCTCTCTCCTTGGTGCTGAATGAACTGCTGATAATATTCTTCTTTTGGAAAGACTAATATTCTTTCCCCACAATTTCCTCATAACTAGTTTCTAAATCAATAGTTGAGTTCTGATCTCTATTGAATCATTCATAATGTGGACATCTTTCTTCAGTACTTCACCCAAGGAATCAGATGCCTATGGAGTGGATGATGGGAAGGTGGATGATGATGATGATGATGATGATGAGAGTCACAGAGCTGTTGTGTCTTTCCAGAACCTCTGCAAGGTACTAGAACATGTATGCAGTACCTTGCATGAAGCATTTACATTTATTGGAAACTATTGTTTTTTTTTCTTTTCATATTATGTGAAATCATATAGTTAAACAATTCCCTTCTAATGTGGTATCACTGGTATGTAAATGAATAGTTTTCCAGTTAGATCATAAAGATCCCTTCTATTTTCTAAATATTTTACACTTACTTTTAGAGTCTTGTTCAGAAATCAAGCAGCAAAGCCAACAGTTCAAAGGTGAGTAAAGCTTGATGTCCAAGTTACATTTCTCATGTCATCCGTTATTACAATTTGACTTTTCTTTGTGATAAACTGTTATGCAATCTCTGACAAAAGTACCTAATATGTGTTCCCTTTTTGTATTAGAGTGTGCTTAATTTTTGGTACATGGTGGTTTTCTCAGGGATTAAAATATACTGGGTTCATATGCACTTTTTGCACCCAAACTTGGATCTGTGCACCTAGGTATTTGTGTTGGGTTACAAAGGTAAATGTTGGCTTGTTGGATGCACCATTGCACCTATTCAAAAATGAATACCAAGCCCTGGATGTTCTATTTCCCTTCCAGAAAGTACGACAAGGACCGTCCATCTTTGACACCACTGATGAAGACGACAGTCGCACGGAGAGGAGTTGGCTCCTGTCCAAATCCAAACAGAAGCCCAAACCTCAGATCAACCACCAGTATGGTAAAGACAAGATGACGTCCAAGCCTAAACTTCACTGGGACCATGAGACAGAGTCTACTACAAGTAGCTGGACTCCTTATAATGCAAGGGAGAAAGCTACACAAAAGGTAGCATATGATAATGACTTGGTCCATCCTCACAGTTTTCTCATTGGTCAAAAAGTGAATGATGAAGGTTTTTCTTATACCCTTTTCTTGTCTGCACATTTTCAGGAGAGAATGAAGCCAAAGAAGGGAGGAAAAGCCAACAAGCAGCCAAAGAAAGCAGGGAAAGGTGCCTCACATGAGGACCCACCCGACACCTTTGGCTTTGAGGATGACAGCTTACCATCCTTGGAAATAGAGAGGACCAAGCCATTTACTACAGCCAGCAGTTGGGCAGAAGAAAAGGGGGAGGTGGCAGCTAAAAAGAAAAGGGGAAGGCGAGTAAGATCTGACAAGGTAAAGAAAAAATTATATGAAGTTTTCTTTCTTATCAGTACTGGTAATGGGGTCTTTTTAATTAGTTTACTGATATATCCCTGACAAAATTGGTACTCAAACAAGGCGAGTAAGATCTGACAAGGTAAAGAAAAAATTATATGAAGTTTTCTTTCTTATCAGTACTGGTAATGGGGTCTTTTTAATTAGTTTACTGATATATCCCTGACAAAATTGGTACTCAAACAAGGATGTTATTTATTGTAATAATTCGTGTTCTGATATGATATTGCAACAACGGTAGGAAATTTAGAAGTTAGGAAATATGATTTAGAAGTAAAAACTGTCGATTATAGTAATGTAGTATGTGTATAGAAAAAATACAAATCTCATCAGATGTGTCCACTTAGCAGGTATACAAGGAAGACAGTGATTCTGACATTGATAATGACAACTATGACAACCTCAAGCACAAGGCATCGACCCCAAAGGTGTGTATGTTCAAACATATGAAGTGATTTTCAGGAGCGAGAATTTTGTATCTGCTCATATGGTGATTTTCACAGAGGTATTGTTTTTATGTGTGTTTGTGTGTGTGAATTTTGTTCATATCATCCTTGCAGTCTCCTGTGGACAAAAGGAGGAAGTCAAAGTCTTCTGCCAGTCACTCAAACTCTCACATTACTGCATCTGACAAAGAAATGCTGGAGCCTTGGAACAAAGAAGAACACATGAAAGTCAGCAAACAGGTATGCAGTCTACTAGAAGATAAAAGATTTTACAGGTATAGATGTTATTTAATGTGAAGGTTGGCAAGTTGCCTAAAGTTTGTTTTCCAGTCTCAATTTGATATTTCAATATTACTTTTAAATTAACTTTAAGAATTGGCAATTTCAGATGGCCACCAGCAGACGGTTCCTTGATGCTGTTCATGTGGAGATCTTTAAGACTCCTAAACAGCCTACAGCCCACAGGAATGCAGCTCCACATAAGAAGAAGGGCTACAAAGAGCTGAAAGTCAATGTCAACAAAACCCCCACACCCAAGGCCCTAAAGTCTGGGAGTGGCAAGGAGATGGCAAAAGGTACCTCCAAGGTCTTCCAAGTTTGTTTGCATATAACGATCCTTATTACATTTCTGCTTGTTTGTATGCTTGCGCTTGCATGTGTTTTCATACTCAGCATGTTTGGCACACTGACAGGAAGTTAGGTCGAAGGTCCTGGAAAAGGTTCTCATTTCCTGTTTTCAATCTCCTGCTATATTCATGTCTGTTGCCTTATGGGAACTAGTGAAAAATGCATACATGGAGTCAGAAAGGAATTCTTGAATAAATGATGGATAAAACAAGAAATTCACAACTTGTAGATATAGTAAGAGATATACAGTGCTCACTTTTTCTGGCTATTCTTGATGTCAAGAAGGTTTTCACTTTTTCAGTTGTACTTTTTACAAGATGTATTCAACCTCTCTGTATCACAGCTAAGTCCAGCAGAGGCCTTGACCTGAACTCCAGTTTTGACCCAGACCGCTGGGTGGACAGTGATGTGCCAGGGTTCCTGTCTGACAGCCAGAGTGATGGACAGTCTGGCTACCTGTCTGAGAGCAGTGTAGTGCCTGGCTTCCTCTCAGGGAACGAGAGCGGCTTCTTGACAGAAGAAGACAATGAAGTAGTTCATAATGTATGTCCACGTGTTTCTCCAGCTGCTTATAATATTGCAAACAACAGATATCATCCGCAGAACCTGTCCTCGTAGTCTAGATCTATTCATCCATATCATTGTGAGTTCAGCACCAAGGACAGGTACATACCTGCTTACTACTTGTCAGAACTCATTTATCGTAACTTTATCTTACTATTTGTTTGAACTATGTTTCGAATGCAAAGACTTATTCTACTTATACAAATGGAAAGGGCTATGCTATGCATGTCAATATATCTTAATAAAATCATCATTTCCATCAACTGTGATACAGTGTATTTGTACTTATTTGGTACATTCCCATGTTCTAGGAGTTGTAGTTCCATCCTGCCCAGTGGAACCTGTCTGGCCAGCAGTAATGTGACAGAAGACAATGTGCCTGCCTCCCCCTGTCTGTCTGTCATCACTCACATCTCCAGTGTCAAGAGCCACTTCACTGGGTCTCACAAAGCTTCTGACAAGGTAAGATTAAATAAGGTATTCCTGTCCAAATATATTCTGTTGCATGGTGGTTGGCAGGTGATTTTGACAAGTGATTAATTGGTGACCCAGCACCCGCAGCGTGGGAGTAAGTGGGTAGTGTTAGAAGTGGTGCAATACCTGATTTACATTACATCATAAAGATATGTAATTTTGAAAGTATTTCTTTTTTTTGTGAAATCAACCAGTAATTGACTTGAATCTCAAACATTTATTTTGTCTCAGACATCTTTGATAAAAACATTTTCCTCCATTTTCATAGAATTAAGAGAAACTTGTTACCAAGAGTTAGGGGACTAAGAAAAAAGAACCATAAATGCAGAGTAAGATAATGCTACTCCAATGTTTTTTGCTGCAGATGTCCATTTCTTATGAAGCTGATGAAGAGGACCATGCTGATGGGAAGAGCACCAGTATTGCCAGCATTGTCTCCGGCAAGTGTTTTCTTATCAATTAACAGATAATGTTCTGTCACAATGAACTAGATACTGCTATCTAGACAGAAAAGATGGGAGAAGGAAACTCCTGTCCAAAGCAACTTCCCTAACTGAACTACATATAAGTAACTAATACTATATAGTACGTGTATATAGTATGTGTAACTATAATATAGTAAATAATTCTACCCATATGTAAAATATTTTGCCCATTGAATATTATGACATCTGTGATATAAGTGTTATGTCCACCTTTTGGTTTCATTCACTTAATGCCACAGGAAAAGGCTGCAGTCCTTAGGACGGGATGTTAATCCACTGTTCATTGCACTTGTCAAAAAGAGCTCAGGAAATTTTCTTGGTACAATTAAATTGTATATTCTGTACATTATTAAAGGAGTCTTTTCTGCCAGGACCATTGGAAGAGTACCGGTAAGCTTAACTGTTCTATGAGTTCATTGAACTAAACTGGTTTGAGATCACTTTCATTTTTCACACATTCTGTCTATGTCAGGTCCGTCCACGACTGTACGTCCTTCTGCCTCTACTCTGAAGAGGAAGTATGGAAGTGACTCTGAGGATGATGACTTCCCTCCCGTATCCCTGGGACTACAGGATATGGGAGGAGGGCGCATCACTCTCCATCCAATGAAGACCATTAAGAAGAGTCTGCCAGGTGTGAGAGATTTATTACCTGTCCTAGATGTTTGTGTTCTAATCACATGTTTTTGGTGCAAGTATGAAGAAAATGTTTTGTGTTCATTTGATACAAGGTACTTTGAAGGAATCATATATTAAGTAATACATAACTCTTAGGTATTATTTTTAAACGCCCCCCAATAGTCATTATACATCCCCTTGTATTTTTACCATTAAGTTCACGCTACTTCTGTTACCTTTCTTTTTAACTAGCTACCTGTTACAATTGCTTCCTTCTACCTGCAGTCTATCTAAAGATTTTTACCTCCTAAATGATAAGTTTGTTTTTCTGCTTGTTTTTAAAATATTGCAGCTCCAACACTATCGTTGAACACTTCAGAAGTGTCGGATGGAGACCTGAACATGACAGAAGACTCCATGGAGGACTCCCTCACTCCGCCAGAGGATGTCGGACTGGGCGGTGTCCTCAACTCTTTCAACGCACAGATCATGAAAAATATCCAGGTAGTTCTTTCATTTGTTGTTAGTATTGCGTTAAGCATGACTATTTTATGCTTTAGGACCATGTTAGTTTCACACCTAAGATAATTTCCATTTAGAGGTGATACAAGCTATGTAAGTTTATGTCATACTTTTATGGCTGTGAGTAAATTTTACTTAATATGTGCTATTTTATGGTTGATATTTGAGATATTACATTCAGCTGTATAATGATAATTCTGCTTTCAGCACAAGAAGAAACAGCTGGACAGTTTCTCTCGCAACACCTTAAAGTCCACCCAGAAGGAGGTTAAAGGCCTCTGGAAGGGGCAGATGGGAAGGAGGTAAGACATTTATTACTGCTGGGTACAAGTTTAAAATGAAGTGCTGTTTTTGGTGACTGAGCTGTGGGTTTGTGTGTGTGTTTGTCTGGAGAGTAGAGAGTACAATGTAGGTTGAGACCAGGTTGAGAGTGCAATATGGGTTTACAATTCATGGGTGGGTAAAGATTGACAGGCAGAATGACAGGTCAAAATGTCTGACACGGGTATAACTTAAAGGTTACTTCCCAGAAGTGTCAAATCTCTGATTTTATCTTGTTGTTGTTTGTGTTATGATTTGACAGCCAGAGTCTAGGAACCATCCACATACACTTTATGCCAGTGTAAACCTTCAGCAAGGTGTTGTATGTGGACTGTATGATGTGCTGTCTATTACCTGTACAGGATGAGGGTTCAGGAGGACTTTAAAGGGAACCTGCTGCATGAGCTGGACTTTCTGGAGAAGGAAATGGCAAACTTGCAAGCTTGTGAGGAGAAAGCCTTGGTAAGCTACTGTAACACTCTAACTAACAGCTATCAACAATTAATACCACTTTTCCATATACATTTAATCATACTAGCCACTCACACACACTCACTATCCATGCAGGCCATTGTAAAATAGATAAGTTAGACCATACCATAGATTGATGCTTCATATCATATACTAGTAGTATATTAAATGAATGGTCACAAAATATTTTTTCTACTTACAGAAATTATTTGAAAACCAGCAAAAGCTGTTGTCTACAGCAAGAATCACCCATGAACAGCGGTAAGTATAAACAAGAAGAAAAAAGATATTCAAGACTTCCTTTACCATCACAATTTTGTATTATTTCTTTGTAAAACATCAGTTGGATTTAAAAATATGTTGGTGATAGAATAATTGTTCTGAATTTGAGTAATTTCCTTACATATGATTCCAGCTTCCGGAAAATTGTGCAAATGGAGGAAGACTTCCACAAGACCCTGGCAGAGTTGGACAGGGAACAGGAGCAGCAGCAGGTGGGAACATTTGCCATGTCTAAACTAGCTTTCAACCTCCATCCATTCAGCATTTTGATTCAAAATGTATTAAAAGGCCATTTGTTGTTGTGTTCAGTGAGGCTGTCACATTACAGTACCGGAGGTTCGAATGCATAATCTTTCACCATAAGTAGGTAGTGCACCGTTGTATGAAATAACATACACTTAATAGATTGCATGATTATTTAATGTTGAGATTTAGAACTACACCATGACAAGAAGACTTTGACCTCCATGGTGCAGTTTCCCTTTATTTAATCCCATGTGTTTACATATGCAGATATCACTGCGGGAGAACCTGTGTGCCAAAGCACAAGAAATGTCCAACAACTTCCTGAAGAACATAGTAAGTTGAATTGATGCGTATACCTCAATATTTGACATTGTAGATGAGGATATGATTCCTTTATGATGCTTATTAATTTGTGTATTTGTTTGTTTGTTTGTTTGCCATTCTAGAGTGGCTTTCAGTTTATGTACAAGGGAGATGTTTAATTTGAAACATTTTTTTTTGTTCAGCAACAAGAGGAGATGAAGAATATGAGGAAAGTCTTACACAACATGTTTCTCTGAGGCTGACAGACAATGTGTGGTTTGTATTAGTCATTCCAATGTAAGAGTTATTGATACCTTTTCATCTTACTTGATGCAAAATCAGTTCCAAAAATTTGAAACAGGTTACGATGTGGCAGAAGGTAGTTGGATTTTACTACCTGTTCCAATGTCTGAAACTCATTACCTCTAAAGGAGTTCACTGCTTGTTGGTTTTGATTAGTTCCCATTGCGAGTTGTTAGCAGTAACAAGACAAGTTGGCTTTACATTTAGTACTTCAAGTGGTCATGCATACATTATGATATTGAGTGATGAATTGTTTCTACAGTGTACATGATGTTGATTTGTTGCCTAAAATTTTGCCTGCTGTTTAAGATATTTTGCTAGTCAGTGTTGCAGAAAGAAGTTGTTCTGTATTTTGCAAAAAGTGCATATTTCATACTGGAAGCATGTTTTGATGAACTCAGCCAGTTTTAAGACAAATGTTGATGTCACAGTTAAGAGAACTATGTTGTATTCCAATATTGCCAGGATATTCTTATCCTGAGTAAGCCAAACTCTTTTTGGATGTATAATATAAAGTTAAACTATTATATCAGATCTATGTAACTCTTGTTTCTGTTGTATAGATTTGATCTTTATCATACTTAAGATAAGGATTCCCTTGAGGGTTTTTGAAATAAACAGATATGAATTACATGTATGTGTATTGCAGTTTTATTATGTACAGTTTTTGTACCTCCCTTGTAGAAAATGAGATTAGAAATTTGGTTTCAGCTACTTTTGATCTTAAAACATCTTCATAGGACTTTTAAATAAGTTTATTTTCAGTAGATTACTGAGTTCTGCCTAACACAGAAAAAAGCATTCATTTTCATAACCATTTTATTTTGAATCATATGTTCCTTTCAAAGGCTTTATCATACTGCATGTTTCACCTGTATGGTTTAGTCACACATATGCCTGTTTTATCCCAATAACTTAGTCATAATGATTACAAAACTCCTGCTGAGGTTATAGAACAACACTCAGCCACCGATTGAAGAAAAAAGTTATAGGTTATATAAATATACTAATATACTAAATTAGATATAACGATCCAGGATGAGCGGTAAGTTTATAGAATTGCTATATTGAAGATAACGTCTTGATAAAGCCAGCGTTAACTTAGGTGGTTTCACTTTCCGTATCCTAATTCCGTATTCTTGATAATGACATGAACCTAAAGCTGTACCATTACTTTAGTCTAATTTCAACAAGTACATTATTTGTTACAACAAGTACATTATTTGTGCATGTAATAATATCAGTGTCAGGTGTTTTAGGCCAGAAAGAGCGTCTGAACCAAAGTGTAGTTTCAAACATTTTCAATAGATATGCAGTTTTATGAATTGAACGTCATGTTTTATGATATCATATGAAACGGCGAAGTGCTGGAAATCACTACTGTACAATTATTCCTGACCAATCAGGGCAAGAAGCATATTGCGGTAAGCTCCACTGGTTTCGTCGGCAATAGCGGCCCCTAGCGGCTTTCCATGGCGCCGTTCATAGATGTCTGCAACCTTCTTCATGTCCACCTGCAGGTAACGTGTAAATGCACATTTTATTAACCATCAGTCACAACATAGTACAACTGAAAATTAGATGTCATTCTATCTGCTAGAAAATAGCTGATACTCGTAGCTGATACGCCAGCACCATTTCAGCATTATATCTATGAGAAACTTAACATGCTGATCGAATAATCTTATACATTTACGTAAGCGTGTGGCTCCCTACCTCAGAGCGGCTCACAATGACCCTTGTGAGGGTGTCCTCGTCTGTCCCAAAGCCCATCATGGCCATGTACAGACGCTCCGCGAAGTAACCAGGCAGGCTCAACACACATTTTACTACAGCGGGAAAAAGGACAAAGAAAGTGATGTGTTGACCGTTCAATTGCAGATATTTTAGCTTATTTTTTAATCATACTGATAATGTATATAGTGAATTTGTTTTCTGACTAACAAAACATCAAACTGAATTCGGTCAAGAATTAAATATACTTGCAGTACACGCACCGATCGCTAGGTAGCCTTCCTTGACGTCATCCTTGGTGGGGTTAAGGAAGCCGCCAGTTTGACGCGAGATCATTTCCATGATGTGGTGTCCGCTTAGCTGCAGGGTTGGAGGATAGTGACAACAAATTCTAAGACTCGTTCTGTGTATCTAAGTTGTGTAGTGTAAAGATTAATTTGCGTTATCAACCTTGCATCGCCTAGTTATTGTAATTATTGACGCCTAAAGCTATAGGAACATCTGCATTACTGACAGTACAAGTCTACTAAAGACCAACAGGAAAGTTAACCCACCCGTTGATAGTCCAGGAAGGTCTGCCTGAGATGTGCGTAGCTCCGAGTCGCCAGGATCTTCTCCAGGGTCGGTTCAAGTTCCTCCTGTTCAAAGAAAAAGGATGAGCTGAAAGAACCTATATGGTACACGAAATAACTGAAGGAACATGTATGTAGGACAGACTCAAGAGGAAGAACTACACTCAATAATCGTTATTGAGGCTCCCAATATCTACATGACAGAATAGCACTGTGTGTATTAATGATATGCACCTTGAATTATATTTCTTAACAGCTTTATAACGTCCGATGTCATCATCTTTTTGTCGTCTCATTACCTAACCATGAATTCTCCTCATTATATTTCATCGTTCGTCCTAGCCTTCCTGCTCTCACAAGAGTTTTTGTATTAAAGTACACTATGCGGTATTCAAGGCGGTACGTACATCGATAAGTGTGGAAGCCTCAGCCAGCGTGACTGTGTAGTCAACATTCTTGTCCTCCCTGTCAGTCTGTGGGAAATATAGGCAAAGTCATGGTAAGTTTAGCCTTGCATTGTGAAGTTTAGTACGAAATCCATGCTATCAACATTGGAGAAACATCAGAGATTTCAAGCATCCTTAGAGTGTTTGGGGTTTTCGTGAAAAAAATTATTCCGAAGAATATTTTATCCATAAATTCTCCGAAGAAGAAAATTTATGTTTAAAGTTAAAAGTTTTGATCCAACACAAAGTTTTAACTTTAAACATGTAACTGCCAACACAGATGGACTTTCATGATAGAATAAGGTTTATAAGATGGTCTGTCTGCTCGCACTGGTCATACTTACTTCCAACATGGCTACGAGCAAACTGCGCAGGTTGCCGCCAGTGTCCTGCTCCAGATCCTTCTTCAGATCGAAGTTCGTCGCTGATAGAGAGTACAAGGAACGGTAACTAAGCCTGATGCTTTAGATCTAGATACTAGGTTAACAACTCGTAACGTATAACGTGTATCCAATCTCCCTCAATAGACTGAACATTTGTTTTCTCTCATTCAGAAATGGCTACTGTCCATCATCTCCTTTCATCTAGTAGTTGTCACTATCACATCATTGCGCAAACAACTTCAATATATGATGCGAATAATTCAATGGAAATTAAGATGAAGCCACCTAACTAATCATACTTACCAAATGAGTAGGCCTCTATAATCTTCTTTATTTGCTGCAAAGAACAAATGATATAGTTAGACGATTCTGATTATTTTTCAGTGAAATTACTTGCCCTGGACTGCTATTTTAACCAAATTTGAACCACGACAAGGGCAGCAAACCTGTGCAGTATACTTCGTTCAGTGCACATGTATTTTGAAAGACAATATCCCTTATCCATTCTATAAAACGAGACTGTAAGATTACCTTATTAGTCCTGGAGCAGAGGATCTCGATGAGAACAGACTCGTCCGTGCCGGTCCCCTCCATGGCTCCCCTCAGGCAGCGGGCGTCGTACAGCCGGGGCGGGGTCATCAGCGCCCACACCAGCCGCCCGAAGTCGTTATCAGCCCCCAGCGCGTGCACCAAGTCCCCGATCAGATCCTGGGTAACAAGAAATTGGAGTGTTTTCGTTTTCTATGTGTTTCTTCTATTTCCGCTTCGATATGCTGGGCAGGTCGAGGACAAGGTCTAGGAATAGGTTATGTAATTTTCTGTCCTCAATTGCCTGCTATATGTAGTTTGTTGCCTTCTGGGTATCAGTAGGAAAATACATAGACAGAATCAGTGAATAATTCACAATAAAGAATAAAACAAGAAATTCACAGAAAATTTCAGGGAGGTATGAGATCTTTGATTTCTTGTTTTGAAAAAAATGACGGTGTTATCGTTCAGAACATTACACCGCTTGTGATACATACATCGTCGAAGTCCTTCTCGTATTGCATGGCGATTTCCATCCGTTGGTTTTGGCTGCGGTGCGCCAGGATGTCAGTCAGTTTCTGCTCGTTAACATCTGTAAGTGTAGGCAGACTGACATGGGTTAAATGTAAAAGTAAAATGCGTCATTTCACCGCCTTAAGTTGATTGCTTTCAACTGAGATTTTTAAAATTGTGTTGTATGATTTCAACACGTTAACCCATATAGCTTAATCAATAGCGTGGTGACGGCGTCCTATGGAAAGAAAAGTCAAAACATTGCACACCACCGATAACACTAAATACATTCTTACCTTTCTCCATCACAATTTGGCGTAGCGCCTTGGCGTCCGCCACTTTGTCAAAGTCCTTGACAGGGAAGACAGTTCCCCAGTACTTCTTCTGTGGTTCCGCCGCTTCTTTGGCTGGCTCCTCGATGGCGTCATTGTGCAGCTGTTGCCAGAACTTGGTGTCCTGTAGGTAAATATGCGTCCGACGATTTTCACGCACTGGTCTAAAACTCACTGACAGATAGCCATTTAAGATAGGCAGGGACTTTCTTTAATGAAGCAGAACGACCTTGAGAGGTCATTTGTGGTAAGAAGAGCTCGAATGTGTTGCACACCCTTGTAAACACGTCAAGCAGGTAGCGGTTAACTATAAGGGATCCTAAATCGTGGAGTCTGACTCACGCAATTCCATGCGTGACTTGGGTGTAAAATGTAAATTACACACGTTCAACCCACATGTACTCTCCAAGCAGAGGTTTGGGTTTTGGGGGTATTTTTAGCGTGTTTTTAGGTCTTTTTTTATTCAGGGTTTCTCTTTTGCACTGAATAAAATAAGCATTTCCTGAAACGTTTCTTGAAGTTTCTTGAGGCTATTTGAGCGAAGGCTGTCTTAATAAAAGCTTTTACCCCGCACCCTCTTTGATACGTGATGTTTACCCCAATCATCTGGTATTAGCATTCTGACCGTGTTTGACAGTGACAGGGCACGACCCTATCAACGTGCACCAAATAATCAACATACTTTCTCCACAAACCCTTTTTGTCCTTGATCTTCATTATTGCTATCACGTATGAACTACTCATACTTTAACTATACATGTTGATAAAGTGGCAAAATAGACCCAAAACGTTAGGGAAATCGATATCTTTCTGGTTCTATTGTACCACGTGATGTCGTTAAATCAGGACGGCCCAGGTCGTTGAGTGTCCTTGAAGGTCGGTACGGCGCGGTCACATTCGTCGTAGGTTGTCGTACGATTTTCAAGCAGGGCGTAACAGAACCAACGCCGCGCATAAAAGGATCTAATATTATAGCATTTCGTAACAAGACGACAGACACGTGCACGACTATACCAAGAATACATTCATGTGTTTGCGTCATCTTACGACGATCGCACGACGCATGTGACCGAGCCCTCTGACACTGTACGTGTCACATGTTTACCAATGACACAAGACGTCACAACAAACAGAGTTTTCATAGACGATCCCGTCACATTCTGGTAGGCACAAATCGTAACAGACGTCCTGACAGGTTGACCCTGGTCATTACAGACACGATAACACTTGACTCTCGGTTTTGTGTAATCGGTTTACCCAGTGGCCAAGAAAATGCGATTTTATCATAATATAGACTTAGACTGAGACACCAAGACTCAGTGACAACCCTACCTCTTTCTTGCTCGCCATTTCTTCACAACTTATCCGTCGCGAGTCCTCAAGAATGATGAATACGTGTCGATGTTTTTGTCCCCACACCGCGATAAGCAGTACCCCGGATGACTTCACTGCGTTAACTAACAACAATGCTCTGGGTGGACCTTTTAAAAAAGAGTTGACCTGGCAACGCCTGCCAGAGGTGACGTACTTGCCGTTCCCTCCCAG